TGCGTTCATAATTCAGTTGTAAAAGTGAGTCAGCTGTAAAAGTGCAGCACATACCTCCCTTTAGTTCAGCAAGCTTATAATGGTGGACCTGGTTATGACAATTGTGTGTCATGTACAATAAAGGACAGTGTATTTGGCTACATTACTTGCTCTCATGTCTGTCTATGCCATCTGCCCTTTTCAAAATGTCTTATAAGTCTATATTAAGATTTCTCACTGCCTTGACGTTCTTATGAGGAAACGGTAAATTTTGGTATAAGGCCAGATAAAAGCTACAGTGTAAAGCACATTTCATTTTATTTCTTCCATTCATAAGGCACAAGCAGCTAGTTATAGGAATTTTTGTTGTACTGGCTATGCATCAGCTCCAGAAGAAAGGGCATTGCAGCATGTCCTTGCTAAGGTCCATCCACTTTCAAGGGGTAAAGAAAAAAGTAGACATGCATAAGGATAATCACAAGGATTCTGATAAATATAGATGGGCTCCCACAGAAACTGGATAATTAATCTATACATGTCTAACCAGGAGGCGTTATGTGATAGGTTCTTTGGCCTGGTCCTTAGATAAATTAACTGGGAGTTGGCAAAATGCTAGGGAGCCTCCTCCTTGCTAGATTGAAAATGATTGCTCAGAGTGAGGTGGGGCAACCTAAAAAAGTTAGGTTTAATTGAAATTAATTGCTGGTATCCATGCTGTAGTTTCTATTGTGATAAGAATGAATTCCAACCTAACAACAAATTTAGGAGTGCCAGATGTAACTGAGCAACCAGGATTGTATGATCTCTAGTGGGTCTGAAGTTACTATTTGGCCCAAAACTGGTCTAAATAGAAGTTGGGCTAGAGCTTTTGCCTGGAAAAGTTTGATGACAGCAGGCAACAGAACTATTGAGCATCTGATGAAATCACAAAATGGCTGAGTTACTCCTTGTATAAGATGGTCAATTCAAGTTGCATGAGTGACTCTCCTTGCTTTAAATGCAACCCCAAGATATTTGAAGAAGCTCAATTATGTAGTTCTTGATAGTTCACCTATGGGCTGTGGGTCTTTTAGAAAAAAATCATTTTCTTGTTTTTTTTTATAATTGATCAACTGTTCCTCTTGACAATGTTGAACCAAAGCAGTGAATGCCCTCTTCAGACATGCCTTAAGAATAGACTAAGAGCTTCATCTCCACATGACAAAATTGGGAGATCTCTTTTTGCCAATTTAGGGCCATAAATGTACATAGTCTTGAATCAAAAATATAGAAGTTGAACAGAGTTGGAACTAGTATACAGTATTTTAAGTGGAGGACTGTCCTGCTCGTGCAGCAATGAGCAGTAGAAAACATTTAGTAACTTGAGTTATTCAACTTCTAACTGCATTTTGGGGTTTCACATGTGCTTTAGGCACTCGGTTCCGAAAAGGTGAGCCTTCACTGCTTTAGGATGTTCTCTTGGATAATCCAGTCCTTCAACATTGTAGTTGGAGCATGACATCATTTTACTAATGATGACATGGATGCCCTTTGGCCATTATTTACTTCTCCCTTTTCTGCAGAGCTGTGTCAATTTACAATTTACAGGGGGGGAAATCTCAGTGCTGTTCTTGCTGGAGGAAGAGAGACCAGCAGTAGCATCCATGTGCATGAGAACCCAAATACTGTTGTGGATTTTTAGATCCTTTAACACACGGGTGTCAAACTCACAGTGTGACGTTGCTGTCACATAATGTATCATGATGCTTTTTCCCTTCATGGAGCTGGGGTGGGTGTGGCCTGCACGTGGAGCAGACTACTGCCAGTTTGACACCCCTGCTTTAACAGAATAACACCATTGGAAGGTACTTTAGATGAGGATTACATGTTGTCTGGTTGATTAGCCAATTACAAATCTGTCTGGTGGTGATGCTGTCTATCCCATATTTTATCTTACCAAGAAATAGGCTATAGTCTATGCTGTCAAGTGTCTTACTGAAGTCCAAGTATACAATGTCCATAGCATTTCACTGGTTCAATAATTTAGTCCAAGGGTGTCAAACTCAAGGCCCGTGGGCCAGATCTGGACCTCAGGGTATTTAAATCTGGCCTGCAGGGCTGGCCTGAAAATAGCAAAAGACCAGTCCGCAGTGCTACTGAAAATGGAGCGCAAGGCAAGAGCCCTGTTTTCGGGCTGAATGGCTTCCTGCAGCACCCTGCTGGCCAAAACAGGGCTCGGGGAGGCATTTTGAATGGCAGGATGTTGCAGGAGGCGTCTGTCCCATTTTAACTCCCTCCTGCCCTCTGGCCAGCTCGAGAACGACAATGCTGATCCGGCCCTTGAAGAAATCCAGTTTGACACCCCTGATTTAGTCATTTTGTCAAAGAATGCAGTGAGGTTTATCGGGCTGGTCTGTTTTTGACAAACCCATGTTGGCTTCCACTTACAGCTTTGCTTGTTTCTAGATGTTTACAGATCTGTTGCTTGGTTATCGTTTCCAAGTATTGATGTCAGACTGATTTAGTCTGTAGTTTCTTTTTTTCCCTTTTTGGAAATGGGAACCACATCAAGCTCTTTTCCAGTCCTTTGGTAGTTTCCTAGTGCTCCAGGATCTTTGAAAGATAAGGTTCAGTGGTTCCGAGATCACATCTGCCAGCTCCTTCAGCACTCTGGAATGTAATCCGTCTGGTTTCACTGATTTGTACTCCTCTAGAATGGATAGGTGTTGCCTTTCCACTTTCCTGCCTATTTTAACTTGTGTTTCTATCCTAATCTGTCTTTTACAATACTGCTTTTGATAAATTAGAGTATTTTTTTCCTTTAGAATAAAACAGAATTCTTTATTAGCCAAGTGTGATTGGACACACAAGGAATTTGTCTTGGTGCATATGCTATCAGTGTACATAAAAGAAAAGATACATTCGCCAAGAATCATAAGGTACAACACTTAATAATAGTCATATGGTACAATAAGCAATCAAAACATACTAGGAAACAGTCAATAAAAATTGTTAGGATACAAGCAACAAGGTTACAGTCATACACTCATAAGTGTGAGGAGATGGGTGAAAAGAAGGGAGGATTAATAGTAATAGTAATGCAGACTTAGTAAATAGTTTGACAGTGTTGAGGGAATTATTTGTTTAGCAGAGTGATGGCATTTGGAAAAAAACTTCTTGTGTCTAGTTCTGGTGTGCAGTGCTCTATAGCGTCGTTTTGAGGGTAAGAGTTGAAACAGTTTATGTCCAGAATGTGAGGGGTCTGTAAATATTTTCACAGCCTTCCTTTTGACTAGTCTAAACACCTTCCGGAATTCATCCCATCTGTCTTCCAATTCTAGCAAACAACAGCTACTCTGCCATGTGTAAGCTGCAGGAATCTGCATGATGGATGGCACCAGTTTTCTATATTGTTTTGCTGCCATCTAGTAACTATTCAGCTATTTGCAGGTCAGCTACTGTAGCCTCAGTGCACAAAGGGCAATCTTTTCATCACAGATCATTACTTTTGTTGTTTTCTGGGTGCAAGTAGTCTTGCAGTTTGAGTTCTTGCCGTTTCTTATTTGAGTATCTCAGTGTGCAGCCTTGTAGAGCTCTTCCTAAATGTAGTTTTGGCTCATCTATGTGAGAAATATTTGTGCTACTTGCCTCCAGACTCCAAATATTGGCAATACCTTCCTTTTCTGCTACTTGAAGTAGCTTAATTATAGATCTCCAAAAAGAAACAAAACTTTCAGCTAAATCATAATTCTGAATTATATATGAAAAAAGAATCTCATAATGAAACAGTTTCATGATTATAATTTCTTAGCAAGAGAAAAAAAAAGGACTTCCTACAACAGGGGGATTAGCTCAAATGGTAGAGCGCTCGCTTAGCATGCGAGAGGTAGCGGGATCGATGCCCGCATCCTCCACTTCTAATTTTGATACTGTTTAAAAGGAAGCCCCTATTCTCTCCTCGCTCGCCCCCCCCCCCACAAAACTCGCCTCAAGGTCTGGTGTTTTGAGGCAACGGCTTCCGCTTATTAATGGTGTAAAATCTTTTTTTAGCTTTTTACGGTCCTTCAATCCAGTTCCCAAAGGGACAACGCTTTTCGAGGACGAGGCTATGGAAAAATCAGCTCTACGGCACGCATCCGGCGCACAGAACGGGAAGGACCAGCGACTTTTCAGAAGGCAAAGCGAAGGAGGATTGCAGCCTGGGGTAACTTTTAAAATTTTTAAACCCTTGACATCTTCCTTGAGTGACCCAGGAGGTAAATCCCTCGGGGCTTGTTTCTGCTGAAGCAAAAACAAAAAACAAACTCGCTCTGCCTTTAGGACTCTCCGAGTGGAGCGGAAGACGCTCCGTTGCGTTCCTACTGTATCACACTGCGCACCTCCCAAGGAAGTCAGGTGCAACTGAGCCGCTGAGGAAAACAACCGAACGGCTTTGCTGAGGCTGCGACAGGGACGCTTTTCAACGGCCGACTGGTTTGATCAGTTTGGCTTGTCGCCCCGGCCGCTGAAATATTTTTCACTTCATTGGCATCATCTCTCACTCTGCACACCGCGGTCCCTGCGGGCTGGGAGCAGCAGAAATAACCTTCCGACACTGGTCCCGGCAAAGCCCCGCTATTTAAGCCTTCCTTGAAAGCGCCTCACAAGGCAGAGAGAAGTAAGAAGACGTACCCGTAGCCACGCCCACTCGTGAGATGGCCAATGGCCTCGGATCACCCACTTTAAAGAAAACTAATTGGCGGCGCTCCCGCCCTGTCGGCTACCATAGCAACCATGTCACCATGGAAGGGACGCGGCTAGCCAATGGTGCATCGTGTTGCTATGGAGAGGTTCAGCGGACCAATAGGGAGCTGGATTGCACCAGCTAAAGAAACATAGCCTATGATAAAAAGTGTTGTTGTTGCCTGGGCAACCGGCCGAAGGTAGGGCTGGCCTAGGCCGGTACCCCTGGCGGTGGCGACGGGAGCAGGTTAGTGGATTTGAGGGGAGAAGGGAGGAGAGTGGGGCGCGCTGGGGCGATAAGCCGCATCCGTTTTACTCTCTTTTTCTCACCTGTGTGTGTCCAATATATAAAATTAAAAAAAATAGGAGTGTATGGACCTTCCCTCCGTTGCCTCTCCATCGAAGCTTCGGTTCCGGAAAGGGGGACGGATAAAGGGGACAGTAAAATAATGGCCCTTCTGCGTCTACTTGGCTGACTTCTGACTCCATGTGGCAGACGGCCCCTACGAACGGGAAGGAAATGGAGGGGGCGTGACGCTCAGGTATCCACTGAGCCATTAGGCAAAAGATAGTAATAGCCCTACGAATTAATCTGTCTCCTCCCATTCTGATTAAAAACATGCTCAGACTTTGTTATTTTTACAGCCTTTTACTCTGCGATATCCGTTGTGTAGTTTGTTTGTTTTTTACTATAGAAACATTCTTCAGGAATGGCGTGTCCCGATATGAGCATAGCCACAGAGTGGTCAGTGCCTGGAATGCACTACCTGACTCTGTTGTTACATCCTCTAACCCCCACTCCTTTAACCTCAAACTATCTACTATTGACCTCACCCCATTCCTAAGAGGTCTGTAAGGGGCATGCGTAAGTGCACCATCGTGCCTACCGTCCCTGTCCTATTGTCCCCATTTATTCATACGTATGTCCTGTATTCTTATTCATGTTTATACTTATATCTATTATCTTGTAAGTGATTGCCAAATCAGATAAATAAAATAAAATAAATAAATAAAAATAAACAATAGCAGCCCCTCATATCTCCCAATCAAGAGTATCCAGAGTAATATTGTGCCTGGTCCACACAATTAACACTATGGGTTGGTGCAAGGAGGGAACTGAGCTTTGATACTACAAAACTACAGGATAATGTATTGCATACTATGTTGTATGAAATCAAGTTAAACATACTTCAGCAGGTGTGACTTAGCCTGGCTGGGGTACTGGATCAGCAATTCTTGTACTTTTAATTTTGTGCATTTGAATAGGATAGGTTAGGATAGGATTCTTTATTGGCCAAGTGTGATTGGACACACAAGGAATTTATCAGTTTTTTAATAAAATTGTTGCTTAATTTTATACCTGCATTTCATTTGAAAGCTTAAGGTGTACATGTAGCATTTCTCCCTTTTAATTCCAACACTACCATCACCCCCAGCAACCTAGTGAGATTGGGCTCAAAAATTGTGATTGTCCCAAATGTGTCCTCCCAAGTGCCAGTCCAACCTTTTCATCACTACATTCTACTGGCTCTGTGAAAGAGTGAGAAAAATGTCTTAAGAACATTTTCTTAAACTACCACATTCCCCTTATTTGCTTTTTTTGTAAAGTAAAAAACCGCAAATATTGCAAACTTCTCTAAATATACTTACTTCAGTTTGATAGGTTTGTGTTGCCCTTTACTCCAAATGTGCCAAATATCAATCTAGGCATGATATTTCTGTAGTTATTATAATTTAGGTATTTCTTGAATTCTCCAGACCAAAGCCCTCTTCACAAATAACGTTGAATTTAAAGCTAGCACTGTATAAAGGGATCTGGAACCTGACAGCCAGTTAAATCAAGTAGTATAACTTGCATCAATTTGATCCGTGCTGCTTGTGGACAGCTATGTCTCAAGTAGGATATCCTCTTTGATAAATGACTGCAGACATTTCGATGATATTCAAGCTGCTGAAATCCGGCAGATTTGGGTACTTTCAGTACTGGGCTTGGCAAAAATGATGTTGGTAGTCTGAATTGAATGAGAAATTGTTAAATGTTTCCACATGAAGGAATTTGAATTATATTCTTATAGGAAGTTCAGAATATAAGTTTGGTGATCCAGTAGTTTGTTTTTATAAACTTGGGCTCAGTTGGTATTGACTGAAAAGTTTTTGCATGTGTGTTCTTATCAGTGTGATATGATTAGGTAAAGGTAAAGAGGAATTTTAAGTAAAAATGTGGTCATTCCATTTTGTTCTTTAGGAAGTACTTCAGACATCATATTGTAGGAGAATGAAACCACTCTGGTCACCGGGATTACGATGGAAATACGCTGTGGTGGCCTATTGTTCAGCTCCAAATTTGACTCTGGTAATTTGGCTAATGTTGAGAAGGTGGAACACCAGGAAGGTGATGGTGACAACAGCTTGAATGGCAGTGGCAGCATCAATACTTCTTCTGCCTCAATGGTGTTTGGCAACTCCCTCCCCTCTGCAGACTATGAATTCAATGTGTGGACCAAGCCAGATTGTGGTGACACAGAATATGAAAATGGGAACAGGTAAAAGGAGCATTGAAACCACATCCATTTTTCTATTATATCTACTGATTATAGGAATGGATCTGTTGAGGAAGCCATTCCTAACACTTTTTATCGCACAAGCTTTCTGTCCTTTTCCATTTCTTAATAGTGGAGTTGTACCTATTATCTAAGATCATTACTTTAGAAGCCTATTCTGAACAGAAACCAGAAGTTATAACTTTTAATTTGATTTATATATTAATAAATATAGTTATGCACAGAGACACACATATGTACATGCATATATTATACGTATATACATACAGTATAACAAAATCTTACTTCAAGGGTGTCATAATTTAAAATAGGCATAGAAAAATACCAGAGAAAAGGAAAATACAGGTTGTTAGACGGGAAAAGTATATGACTTTCAGTTGGATATACTGTACTTTATTCTTTAAACGGAAAAGGAATGGAGGTCATCTGTGAAAAGGACAGTTCCCAATTCCAAGTGTGCCTGATCTTTCTGGGAAGAAATGCAATTTCTGGGATCTGAAATGTAAATGATGGGTGCTGTTGTCTAACTCTTCTTTGTCTTTCCCCTGTCTTCTTTCTTCCCCAGATCCTGGTTTTATTTTAGCGTGAGGGGAGGAATGCCTGGCAAGTTAATCAAGATTCATATTGTGAATATGAATAAGCAGACCAAACTTTATTCCCAGGGAATGACACCTTTAGTCAAGACAGTACCTGCCAAACCCCGTTGGGAACGCATTCGTGAGCGACCTGCCTATGAGGTATCTGCATAACATGTATTTTGAGGAAAGATGTGCTGAGGTTGGGCTTATATGTACTATTGTATCCTCTTAGCCTCCAGAAACAACATACGACATGAACCTGACTTACTTAAATATGGGAGTGGATGAAAAAGTGAATTTATTTGAACCAACTTTGGGCTTCATAAAAGAGGAATAGCAAAGGTAGTATCTAATCATCAGAAAGGGGAGCCTTGAGTGCTGATTAAGAGGTCCTGATATTATCTGCTTTGTGTTTCTATTGGACTGTTTCTTCCATGTTTCGAAAAGTTGGAATATACTAAATTTATTCTCTCCTCTTCCGTCTCCAGGATCCAATATCAGCTTGGTTTAATTTCAGGCTGTTTGGCTGAGTCACAGATGCATGCATATATGATTCTTCTTACTACTTAACAATATAAGAAAATGCATGTGTGCTTACACTGCAGGATCCAATCTGGGTCAGTCACTGGGAGCAGAGGTTTAGTCTTCTGAGCTTTCAGACTCATGCTGGACCCCATCCGCAGGGAATTTCTTCTTCATCAGAATGTGTGCTTTGGACTTTCCTATGCATAGAATTTATGTGGTACCTAGTTGCGTGTAGCCAGCAATAGCAGAGTCGAATCTATCATCTGAGATCCTTTAGTTTAGAAGCCTATTCTGATCATTACTTTAGAAGCCACACATAATCAGGCACTACATAAATACTATACATAGAATAGCCCAAAGCACATATTCTGATGAGAGAGACGTTCCGTGAGGATGGACTCCAGCATGAATCCAAAAGCTCAAAAGACTAAATCTCTGGTCCCAGTGATCAACTCAGATTGGATCCTGCAACATTATGCTGGGACATGAACATTTGCCTTCATTCATGTGCTCACACTGCCCAAAAGAATAAATAATTTAGTCTACATATCACAGTTTTTCTAGATTATTATTTTAACATCATGGGGCAAACAATATTTTAGGCTTATTTGCCTAACATATCATAATAGGTGGGTTGCGTTGTGACAGTAAAGATGATAAAGGCAGTGATATATCTGGCAGAGCTGAACATCTGATCCAGGTAATACTAAAAAAACTAAGGATCTTGTGCAAACCAGAATTGCAGCAGGCTGGGAAGAACATTGTGTCTATTTGTGTCCTAAATTGTCTGTAATGCTTCAACCTATGTTGGAAGTCACTCTTGGGCATTTTAACTCTTGCAGATGGCGGAGACTCAGTTTGTCCTATCTTTTGTACACCGATTCCTGGATTGTCGAGGAGCCACCACATACTTTGCCTTCTGCTATCCTTTCTCATACACAGAATGCCAGGACATGCTGACACAGTTGGATGCCCACTTTGCAGAGTGCAGACATCTCTCTCCTAGCAGGTAATTTCTAGTTTTGATACACTGCTACCATTCCCTTCCTATCCTGTAGAATCAGCTAGGAGAAATACTCTGTATATTAAGCATATATACAAATGGTTGTTTACCTGGAGTTACCTGTGTAAACAACAAGGAGGAAGGAACCATTTGGGAACAGAATGGGTAACATTGTTCTGTTCAGACTGGGTCTTGGTGACATTCAAGTCTTCCTCTGTAATAGTGCTAGAGCTTGATCACCAAGCTTAGGTTTGAGGATGGTGGAGCAAACTTTTCCACCTCATATTTATGTACTGTTGTGGGTTTCTAGTATGCATAAAAATGGATCCCCAAGCAAAAGAGCCAAGAGTTGTTATAGACTCTACTTTAGGTGTTACATCAGTTATTCATATCTCTTAGATTGTGTGTGAAGGCAGTTCTAACGATGTTTATCAATTGAATAAACAACTAGATACCGAATGCTTTTTTCTATTTCCTTTCCATTAGAACAAAATAAGTCTATTACAGTAATTCTAACCAAAGGTGTCTCCAGTTTGGTGTTAGATACAGTGAGTGGGAATGTTCCAAATGGTTTGAGACTGATTTTTCCAGTCCTATGGGAGTTGCTAAGGGTTTAATATGGCATCTTATTTATGCAAAAGCATCTCATGGCTTGGATCATCAGTATTAAAAGTCCTAGTTATTATAAAAGCCAGTTATAGAAGCAGGGCCATCTCTTCTCTATGTAGAGTGTGTGTCCCATAGAGTGTGGCAGTAGTGTTATTATTTATTCCTTTTATTATTCTCTACTTCCCCCTTTTATTGTTGTTGTTATTATTATCATTGTTTTTAATTGTCTCTTTTTATTAAACATGAAATTCAGTCAACTGAACATTTAAAAATGTATCACAAATACCAGTGATTGGTGCTAATGCGGGTTGTTACCAGCGTCCTAGGTATCAACCAAGCATCTAACCATTATTATTATTATTATTATTATTATTATTATTATTATTATTATTATTATTTGCCTTGTAAGTACACAAAGTGCATCTGTATCAGAGACAACGTCCTTGTGTATCTGATCACACTTGGCCAATAAAGCATTCAATTCAATTCAAATTAAATACAATACAGATTCTAGTCAGAAATGAAGCTTTACTACAGAAAAGGTATGGAGAACAGATATCAGCTGCATACAAAGAACAATACCTCCAGCTAAATCATTTAAAAAGCTAGTAGTTGAATTTGTACATACTAAACTTATTTCATTTTAATCTGTTTATTGCTATTGTAGTCCATTTAGTTCAGTGTGTCAGTTTATCCCAGAAATCCCCAAAATGGGTTAACTTAGTGACCAAGTAAAATGTGTTGTGAGAGCCCAGCCCCAAAATATTCATGCCCTTGGTGGAAGAAGCCCCTTCTTAGAACATCCTCTTTCTTATTGGACAGAATGGGTGTTCTGCTATTCATTGGGTTTTCTCCCATCTTTGTACCAAGGAATGTTTTACAAATTTACAACTTTTTCTCAAAGAGTTCCATTTGGTCCCTTCTCTTTTTCTTGGCATTAAAACATATTCATTTCAAAACATTTTGCTGGAGGAGTTTTACTCTTCTGTGTTTCATCTGCATTACTTTCTACTGTGATCATTTCCCCCTCTGCCGCCTGTTACATTAAAATAGTTTTATTATAATTTACTGCTTTGTTTTTTGTAGGATAATGTGGATACTATTAAGTAAAGAATAGGTATAAATGTTTTAAAGTAAATACATGACAATCAGGAATTTTTCTGGAGCATGATGAGATTGTGTTCTTATTGGTTACTTAATCATTATTGTCTCCTATTGTTGAAAGTACTTGCAGCTATGGCAATGATAAAAAAGCAAAAATAGCTCTTTCAGAGTCCAATTAAAAATCTCTGTGATCCTACACTGGTTCTCTGACAAGGGGGATAAAGAAAATGAAATATCTAAATGGAAAGAAATTCCTCACCATATTAACCTTATTCTTTCCAACACATTTTCATAAAAGTCTTGCCTTTTTCTTATTTCTCTGTCTCTTTGGAAACAACTGGGCTTGTTTATTCAAAGAAGCTGGGATGATGAAATTGAATTAATAAAGAGGACTTGGCTGGGGGAATGGTCTGGAGAAGTGGAAAAGAAAAACTTAGCTAGACCCTTCTTTGCCCATCTAAACTAGTGTCCAACATTATGGCACAATTAGTCGGAGGGCAGGCGCAGACTCTAGAAAAGCTGAGGGGAAGCCGCGCTCCACCACCCACAGAGCAAGAAAGTACTCTAGAGGAGGACGTGGAAAAGGGAAAAAGGAGGCGGCCCCACCCAGGGATACACCGTAAGTGACTGCTTTGATTCCCTTGCCAGGCCTAGGTGATCTCAAGTGGGAGGTAGCTGATGGGCAAGGTTTTTCATCGGGCCCCCAGGAAGCTTTTGTGAAAAAAATTGATATGCTTTGAGAGAACTTTTCAAGATCTAAACGGCCAGTTTCCCCCTCTCTCATCTCTTCTAGAAATAAGCTTATCTCAAAATGAGGGCCCATCGAAAGGCTGAGGCTACCAGAAAGTTCCTCTGGCCTTCTACTTCATGTCAGTTTTCAGGACACCCAGTAGAAGAGTGCGGGAATGGCTCTTTATTGCAAAAGGATAATAAGTTGGCCCAGATAGCTAAAATAGCTCCACTTGAGTGTTGGAATGATTCTTGAATCAAAGTCCAACAGAAAAACGGACAAAGATGAGGAATGAAAATTGGCAATAGAGAGAATTCTCAAGAAGTCCCTTCCTCTCTCTTCCAATGTAAAATCCTTAAAAGAAGATTATTGGGTGGGGGGGGGGGCTTTTGTGAAGTTCTTTTGGGGGAGGAGGCAGAAGCCAGTATGAGGATCCTTTGACAGAACAAAAGGGTGGTGCTCTTGGAGTAAATTAGAAACCATACTACACTGAAACGGCCTTCCTATTCTTTTAATCTCCAGCTATCTGGATGCCATCTATTATCATCGGGAATTGTTGTGCTATTCTCTGGATAAGCTACGTGTGGACTTGCTCACTATCACATCATGTCACGGCATGCAGGAGACGCGGGAGGCTCGACTGGAGAAGTTATTCCCAGACAAGAACACACCCCGACCACACTGTTTTGAGGGAAAGAGAGTAAGTTAGTTGATGCATGTGAGATGTAGAATATGCTGCTATAGAAGATGCTGAACTGGCTGTAATGTAATAGGTTATTCAGAAAGAGCTGTAGGTCTACAATTGCTATGGATGAGATAGGAAGGCAATTGTGACTGCCCATCCCTCATTTCAGTGGGGAATAAATCACCAAGTGTCTTCTGGTATTAACAGCTTTGTCTACATCAATCAAGATATTGTAACCCCCTTAGTTTGCTTCCTCATGTTATTGCTCTTCCTCTATGATTTCATCTGATTTTTTTCTGATTTTTCATATTTCACATTGCTTTTTTCTGCTCTAATTGCCTCTTATTGAAAAAATCTTAGTAATTATTTATTTCTCTTTTGTTTCTCTTTCATATTCTTCGTTCTTCTGGTGGTCTGAGAGTTTCTATTTGTTTTTAGCAATGCCTGTTTTTGAAAACTTCATCCTTCTCAAATGATTTTCCCAATAACTTTAGGGTTCAAATATTTCCTTTTGCTTCTCTCTTCTTTTCTATTTGTATCTTAGGGTGATCCTGAAGATAGGAGTTCTTTTTATTTTCTGTGCTGTGACACTTAACAACAAGGCAGTACTGTATACTGCTATAATAAGTATGATGTCAAATAAATGGGAAACAAAAATATTTTCAGGGCTTGTGGTCTTTAAGGAAAGCTAGAAAGCTTTCAGTTTTGAAAAAATCACTAATACTTTTCCATTTCTCCTCTTCCTGACCCTCTCACCCTGTGGTAGGTATTCTTTCTGAGCAGCAGAGTACATCCTGGGGAAACACCCTCTAGCTTTGTGTTCAATGGATTCCTGGAATTCATACTGAGAGAGGAGGATCCTCGGGCCCAAATGCTGCGTCGTATGTTTGTCTTTAAGCTCATCCCTATGCTAAATCCAGATGGAGTGATGCGAGGACACTATCGGTAAATATCCTGCAGACATTTAGGCTTTGGAGAATGGCTCTGGGACAGGAAAAAGCTCTGGTTCCTTGTGGCTGATTGTAATCTATCCACATTTAGTTTCTACAGCAGATTACTATTGCTTGGAGGTTGAGAAAGAGCAACAGGCTTAGGCCAATAGGTATGGAGGGAGAGTAGATCATTTTTTTTCCTCCTTGCCCTCCTCCAGTTATAAGGGAATCGTAGTAGATTAAGATCTAAGACTTCTAAATGTTCATATGAGATCATTGAGTTTATCAACCTGTTCTGCTCTCAAAACAACAGCCAGTCCAAATCTCTTGAGTCTGTGAGGCTGCCTAGCCACTGTTCATTAGAACACAAAACATTGACTAGGATAGTTTGATGGTCAGCAATGTCTGTTCTGTTTCACAAATACATTATAATTGCCTGCTAGCTCCATATGTGGAGGGGACAAGGGCTGCTTAATCTAGGATAAAAAATTAAGTGAGCAGTCTATAAAAAATGTGAGACCTGGCAACATTGGCTATATATTATGCACAAGACAATAGTTGCATTTTCCCTTCCTTCACAAGTGGAGGAATGTCTCAATTTGTTTGCCACCTTGAGTTATTTGTAAAAATAATAAAAGAAGGAAATACATACATACATACATACATACATACATACATACATACATACATTTGTGTAGCTGTGTTAAAGATCCAGTCCCATTCATCATGATTTATTTTGCTTTCCACAGGACAGACGCTCGAGGAGTTAATTTGAATCGTCAGTATTTGAACCCTGATGCAGAGCTACATCCTCCTGTGTATGGGGCCAAGGCTGTCATGCTCTATCACCATGTTCACAGCCGGATGCAGCCTGGTTCTCCTGATTGGCGAACCTATGTCCCTCCCCTCAACACAAAAATAGCCAATCACCGTTGTACCCGCAAATGTTCTCATAGCGAAGATATCCCTCTTTCTGAGCTGGAGAAAACAAACAACATTCGCAACTGTTCCAGAGATTCCTGCATCACCTCATCTCAGGACCTTGAGGCTTCAGAGGTACCAGGAAGCAATGATGTCTGGATCCTCTCAAAAGAACTCTTATCTGAACACTGTGAGAATGATGTTGAGAATCCTCCACCACCAGCCCCAGAAACCATCCCACCTCAACAGAGTGGTCTGGCTTACTATGTTGATCTGCACGGACATGCCTCTAAGCGTGGCTGTTTCATGTATGGGAACAACATTTCTGATGAGAACTGCCAGGTGAGACTTATTTGGCCCCTCCAGCAACGCCCTGGACAACACAGGCAAAATTGGGCTTGTATAATCCCAAAGGCCAGGGCAGAAGGGATTAGAGGCAGATAAAATAGTCCCATATTTGCTCCTCTGAGATGAGTTGAAACTTACTTAAGGATGTTACAGATAGAGATGAAGTGGCTTCAGGGACAAAACAAAGGGGATGTTTTTATGTATGCTTCTTGCTTTTCTCTCTGCTTAACTTATTTGTAGGACTGGGTTTGGAAGGTTACAAAAGACTCAAGTGAGATTCTCTGGCTAAAGTGCTAAATATTTTGTTCAGGTGCCTTTCAGACCAAAAGATGATGTCAAGTTTCTATGTGTGTTGTTTTCTTTTATAACTTCCATGCTGATGATGATGTTTGACCATGGTAGACAGTCTCCTCAGCATTTCATGTACTGTGTTTGTTCTGTTTAATTGTTAAACCTAATCACCAAGAATTGCTTTCTCCAGTAGGCTGAATCTCTTTATTACTGTTTTCAATTAGTTTGGCTAGATTGTTGCTTCCCAGCCAGTGTCTCTGACAAGAAGCAAAACTGCCTGTTTCTATAGCATGTCGAAATAGGAAGAGCTTTGAGTCTCCAGTTTCTTAATTGCTTTTACAGGTTGAAAATATGCTGTTTCCTAAGCTCATCTCCTTGAACTCTGCTCATTTTGATTTCACGGGGTGCAACTTTTCAGAGAAGAATATGTATGCTAAAGACAAGCGGGATGGACAATCAAAAGAGGGTAGTGGACGTGTGGCCATTTACAAGGCCTCAGGCATCATTCACAGGTATGTGCTTCAATGAGATACTGCTTCATGATCACAACCGTTGGTTCTGTAGGTCTGTTCCTTTTCTCCCACCTCCAATATCTACAAAGTTCCTGCCACCTTAAGAATCTGGTAGATCAAATTGAAGCCAGAGAGAAGAAATTCCCACAAGTGGAGTAACTGTTGAGAAGAAGCTTATTAGGGAATCCTGGCAGCATATGTAATAACTCTAGTACCATGGAGTACCAACTATTTACCAGTGCTAAATAGTTGGCCTTCAGAGGAAAGCTACGAGTTGCATGAACACTTGGCTTTGTATAAAACATAAGTTCTGACTAATAAAATGACAGGAATCCATATTTGAGCAGAGGCATATGTTATTGTTTAGGATGATACAACTTGATCCTTTTGGTGCTACCAACATATCTCTTTTTCATCTAGGAATAACAAGGGTCTTTTCATTAGCATTTTGGTTGTTACAATCATTTCAAACTTGGTAACTTTAATACTTCAACTCTCAGAATTCTCAGCCAGGCTCCTTAAAAGTTTCCTGTAAAAGAGTGTTATATAATAGGTTGCTGCCAGTTAAATTGACTTTTCCGATATATTTTAATTTGTCTATCTGGGGTGTTCTTAGTTTTTCCACCTAGGACCTCTCTTAGGCCCAGCTTTGAGAAAGCCAGAAGACAGAGAATTTAACAAATCAGTGCTACGTGCAAGTGGTAGCTATACAGCATTGTGATCTGCAGATGAGAAAGGTTAAAGAAAATTTCTGGGTTGTTTTTAAGTTAGTGAAGCCAAATATTTACCGTAGTTATAAAAAAGAAGCTTACCGGGAAAAGAGGAATACAGAAAAAGAAGGTTAAGCAACAACCATGGGAACACTCAGTCTAGCTCAGGGGTGTCAAACTTGCATCATATCATCATCATGTGATGTGACTTTTTTCCCCTTTGGGGATGGGCGTGGCCTGCACGTAACGCATCCGGATTGTGGGCCACGAGTTTGACACCCCTGATCTAGCTGAATTAACCACTAATAATTACCTACCCAAATCAGAGCTTGGATTTCAGCATTGATTAAAATTCACTGCAAAGAGAACAGTTGAAGAAAAACCACTGGGGCCCCTTAAAGGTCTTTGCCTTTTCCTCCTATTGCTTGAATGCTACTTCAAGTGTATGGAAGATACGATACAGAGAATAAAACAAAGTTGGCTTCTTTGGGGAATCTCAAAATTGGAAGAGATTGCAAAGATCATTCAGTTCAATCCATTGTTCTGTGCAGAGAAAAGGAGGCTTTAGCTAATCAGAGCAAGCAGAATGTTCCATTTCTGATGTCAAGAGTCTTTAACAGTAAACCATAATATTATTTGGTGCCTGAATCTATCTTTTTACCAATGCATAGTTGAATAAAAACACCAGCTATATTTTTGGCCAATCATGCTATTGATGAAAAGGTCTCTATGGGAACCTCTTTTGGGAGAAAAAAATTATGAATTCAGTGTATTAAAACATTTCATCATGAAGTTACCTATCAGAGGTTAACAGAATGTGTCATATTAGTTCATAATTTGCATTAACATTGGTAACCTTTTCATTTGTTTCCCAGTTACACATTGGAATGCAATTACAACACAGGAAGATCAGTCAATACTGTTCCAGCAGCATGTCACGATAATGGGCGGGCAACGCCTCCTCCTCTCCCAACATTCCCATCCAAATACACTGTGGAGCTGTTTGAGCAGGTATCTCAGGCGACCCCAACCCCCACCCCAGATTCATTGTCAGATTAAGTCACCATGTTCCAGGATGTGTGGAAGAGTAGTCTACACTCCTATACTAGGAAACATCCTCTTATCCAGGGAGAAGTAGAATTAGTATTTGCAAAGAGCCTTCAGGACTATTTATTTAGTCTATATGCAAGGGGGTGTGATATCCTCACTCTTATCTTGCTCAAACCCTAAACAAATGGACAACTCCTCATACCATGATTAATTCAGAAGAAAGCATTCGTAGCCTTTGGATTATGGGGCTATAAAGTTGGCCAAATGGCAAATTCTTACGTGGCAAAAGCATTAGAAGTTTCCCAGCATTTCAGGGAGCTGTGCCGAGGATGTGTTTTTTAGACTTTCTTGTTCTGGCTCTTCAGATTCAGGAATAAGTGCCTACTTAGATACTGTTCTTTCTTGGATGCCAACAAATTGCACATCACAGACTGAAAATTAGCGCCACATGAAAAATCATTTATCTGGCAGGCCTTGATCATCCTAAACTCATTGTGAGATCTCCTTGAATGCTGGCAGGGGATGGAACTTTGCTCAGATGCTGTTGTAAAATGCAAATGATTTATTTTGATTTACTGCTGCTGCAAAATGTAAAGTGATTTACTTTGGTGGTATCCATTCTCAGGCAAGCATAACAATGGCTCAGCAGTTAAAGACACTGATCTTGTCAGCTGGAAACCTGACAGTCCAGGTTCGAGACCTCTAAGTGCCACGTGACATTACTTGCCCCAGCTCCTGCCCACCTTGTAGTTCAAACGCATGCAGATGCAAATAGATAAATAAGTACCACTTTGGTGAGAAGATAACAGCATTCCATGCATTTCCCCATATAGTCATGCTGGCCACATGGCTATGGAAATGTCTTCAGACAATGCTAGCTACTTCAGCTGAGAGATGAGCATTGCCCTCTAGAGTCAGACATGACTGGAAAGGGGAAACCCTTACCTTTACCTTAAATTTGGGGAAATTGAGCAATGTCATGCCTTTATCAAGTGGCAAGCTGATTTACAGTGGACAGCACAGGGATCATGCTGTATCTGTTAAAATGTTCTACCCAACATTCTGGGTCTTTTCTCCCAAGTTTCTGCTTTTGTGTATTCTCTGAAACATAAAAGCCAAACATGCAGTACACAAAAAGAAATTTGGAATCATGGAATTGGGACACAAATTGGCACACAAAGAACCTGCTAAGTTGGAGATTGGCTGGCCTTATTTTCAACCTAATTGATGCCAGTGACAGGAAGCCTCAGTATTGTTTTCTCTTCTTAGCTCGTTGATCAACATGATATAAGTATAGGAAGCACATCTGATTACCATGTTTGAGGCCTTTGATAAAGCTCATCACCCTTTATTTATAGGGGTATACTTAACAATTGTTTATAGTGGGGGGGCTTTCTGGTTTATTTTTGTTGAATCCTGCGCTAGATTTAAAAAGAAGCAGAAACACATGAATAAGGCATGAATTTTAACAATCTACTGCCATCCTCCATATACAGGTTGGAAGGGCTTTAGCAATCGCAGCACTGGATATGGCAGAATGCAACCCCTGGCCTCGGATTGTCCTCTCTGAACACAGTTGCCTTAGCAATCTGCGTGCCTGGATGCTGAAACACGTGCGCAGCATGAGAGGAGTGACAGCCTACCCCAAGAGGAAGGGTACCAAAACCCCACCCAAGGGGGGCAAGTACGTGACCAGATGGGGATGTAGGTTCAATGAAAAAAGTAAAGCTCATAGGAAATTCAGCTGGGACAGACAAAGGACTTTCTGTGAGAATTCAGGATTGTTTTCCACAAATCTTTCCCTGACTTTTGTCCTGACTGCCGCAGTCTCTTCATTTGCAGCTTTGCTGCACAGAAAGTATATCTGCCTGCATAAAATACCTGCATCCTGGAGGGTTATTATACCCTTCCCTAATAATAGTCCCTATTATTAGGACTAATAATAGCATCCTTTTACCTGTAGATTATTTTGTCACAAAAGTTTTTTTTTAAATAATCTTTGAGAGAAGAGGTGTTTGTGGTTTTTGAAATTGCACATATTACCTTGCAGTTCTGATACTTATGGCTGAAAGAGAATAGAAGAAAGGCTAATATTCTAGAAAGGGGACCTGAAAAAGTTAAACGATAAACCTAAAATCGTCACTGTTTGATATTCTGTTTGGAAGAATGCCTCCTCCTCTAACTTAAGGATAATTCCATTCAGATTTCAGAGAAAAGAGCCTAAGAACAAAGAAATGGTATTTTGTTCTAGTGCTATTTTCTCTTATATTGTTTTAGGAAAGGATTATATGTGATCTTTGTTATTTTCTTCTAATATGTACACTGGAGAGAACACTGCAGTACAGTTTTTAGCAATAAATTTAATGGAACTACATTTAAGAAACACAGCAAATTTATCCTATGTTAACAGATATGCTGCTTTGAATTTTGTATCTGATTCCTTCTGACTCCTGGTGATTGCCTGGACAAGTCCCTGAACTTTATTGGCAATACTTTTTGGAAGTGGTTTGCCCTCACCTTCTTAGGACTGAAATTGAGTGACCACCCCAATTGCATAGCTAGCTTTGGACCTAAGGGGGACTAGAATCCAGTCTCCCAGTTTCTAGCCTGGTATCTATAACCACACATCAAACTAGATAGTATTGTATGTTTATTTTATGTTTAGCTCTTTTTGGCCCCATTCAGTCACTCTGACTCTACCCTGAATTAAGAGATTACAGAGTTGGGGGGGAAAAGCAAGGTGATGAGCATATTTAATATTCCTTCTGCTTCCTATTTTCCCCACAGCCTATGAGATGAATTGAGCTGAGAGAATTTATGTCAATATTGTTTAGGTTTATATGTCTGATCATCTTACAACAGCTCTAGGCAGCTCATAATAAAACCATAGGAATATATAAAAACTAAAAATCAACCTCCCAGGGTGGCCCTAACAACTGCCCTTAAGCTCTTATCCCAGTGCCTGGGTTAAGAGGCAGGTTTAAAGTCCTTTCAGAAGGAAAGAAAAGAGAAAGGAGGTGAGCAGGAGAGCAATAGTTACCAGTTACAGTTTTATATGGGATCTAAGATATTGTGCTTAAGCGCCATGCAAAAGGCTTCAGAAGGACTACTTTATAATAAGGTCTATCTCAGAAGCAAAAAAAAATAGCTCTTGCAGGGGCATTGTGGAAAGACCTGCTCTGTCTCTGATTCTTTTCTGTTATATTTTCTCCCAGTGGGATTTCTGCTTCCAGCTCAGAGAATTCTCTCTGCCGAGCCAGAAGCTTCAGTAATGGTAGCGTCAATCAACAAGCTACCTCTCAGGTCAAGATCTCACCCAGCTTCACCTTCAGCTCCTCTCACACCCCTGCCTCCTCAGGGGGGTTGGGGCAGAGCCCTCGGAAAGGTGCCTCAAGGGTGCTGGCCCTTGTGCGAGGTAAGCTGCCTAACGAATCTGTGCTGGGAGCATTCAGATGGATCTGGGAATGGATGTGCTGTGGAAAGAGGCAGCCTTAAAAGAACGTTATTTCTTCTTAATTTTTGAAATAAACACGTACGAGAATCTTGCACCAGTTTCCCCTGTGTCAATCCAAGCCCCCTTTCACCTTTCACAGACTTCAGATGGCCTCTGTGATACTTGCATATAGCACTGGACAGAGATGTCACTTGATGAGTTGTGAACTGCTGCCTCATGAAACAGCTGCAGGACAATGGTGTTCTCTAGTAATATGTTGGGTACTTCGAAAAAGATTCTGGAGCCTCCTCTTTTCAACCTCTCATGAGATATATTCTGTTCCAACCCTTCAGGCTGCTGTTGTGTATTAATTGATTTCACTCTACTGAGAAGCTTTAGGGTAGTGTCTATGCCAATTAATTTTGTCCCTAGTACAACTTATTAAACTAAGTTCATCGAGAGTATTTATTCATAAAGCAAGGATCTGAGTCTGAATTCTTCAGCTCTAAATCCCCACCTAATATATATAGTAAGGGGTAGCAAGCTGTATCATACTAGATGTTTACAGCCCCATTAATACGAAATCAGGTAAGATCCAATGTGACCTAGTCAGTGGATGAATACCACACTCATGATTGTTGTTTTTCTTGAGTGAAAACAAATATTTGAGTATATAAATATTATTCTACCTGGCATTGACAAACAATATAGCCATAGATAATTAGTAGTTTAGTGTATGATGTGAATCCAGAGGATGGGTTACTTTGGTAACAGTGTTGAGCATGTGTGAATTCACCATTGTGTCAGTTAAATTCTGTGTTGGTAAAGCTTAGACAGAGAGAACAAATACTCAGCAATTCTACTCTCTTGGCATCTTTACTTGCTACGGCTGCATAAAAAAAACGTCAACGTTTGTCAGGTCTTAAGGAGGAAGGAATCAGTGAATATATATAAACTTACATTTTGTGTCTCTCAGCAAATATGTCTGTATCTTCTATAACTGACTCCCTTCCCCAAGCAACACCCTGCTGACTTTATAATGGAGGGTGAAGATGGTCCACAGACTCCCCAGACTCTGCAGTACAATATAAGCACCAATCTCCGCATGTGGCGGAGGGCAGAAGAAATTGATATCCTTGCAAGGATGAAATGTCAGCTTTTCTGAAACTTGAGTTTTCCAGCAATACCTTGGGTTATTCTGTCGTGTTCCTGAAAATATCAGGACAGCCTGTCCTAATCTTGTACATTAGTCTGGGCATGTGCCCATGCACATACAAACATTGCAGCTATATTTTCCATGGGTTGTAGTAGCACTAAGTATGCAATACAGTTCTCCTTTTTGTCATAGTGTCTATAATAGGGATCCCCAATCCCAGGGCTGCAGACCGGTACCGGTCTGTGGCCTGTTAGGAATCGGTCCACTCAAGCAAAGCTTCACCTGCACATGCACGAGATCTAAGTTGCATGAAAAATCATGCCTTCCCATCGGTCCATGGAAAATTTGTCTTCCATGAAACCGGTTCCTGCTTCCACAAAGGTTGAGGACAGCTGGTCCATAGTACAACACACTCTGAAACAATGGAATTGGCCTTAGTTGAAAAGAAAGTAACAGAGTCCTCTCATCTTCCTGTGCTACTGTAGATAAGCTTCTTTCAGTGAGGGACAATGCGTAGGTAATTTCTGTAAAGGAATAAGTAGAACCTAAGGGATGGTGATACCAAGACCTTTCAGAGCTGGCATTTTGCTTGTCCCTCATCCTACTTAGAACCTCGAGTTCAGGAGAAGAGACGCCATCAGCACCAGACTTTGCTACGAGCTGCTGTGAGCAGCATCCAGGCACCCTCTCTCCCTTGTTCCACCAGAAACACCTCTCATCTCCAGCTGGCTCCCAGCCTAGGCTCCTGCTCCCTTCCAACTACTATCAACATACCAGGTTTGTATGCCCCTTTGCCTCTCCCCCTTTGCCAGAGTGCCTCTACAGCAGAAATTAAATTGACTATTGGAGTATGCCAGCAGAAGAGATGTAAGTAATGTAACAGGTCACATACTGTTGACCTGTTCCTTCTAGATGTTAGTTGCACCTATATTACCTGAGTAATTAAAGTGTAAGCATTATCTTTCTTGCAAGGTTGGTTGGGAAAAAAAGTTTACTGACACTAAGTGTAATTTGATGATGAGAGAGATTTGACATTGAAGTTGGAGCAGTGCAGACCATTCCATTTACAGAGGCCTATTCACCTTCTTCCCACTCAAGTTGTTCCAATCAAAGAAAAACATTCAGATAGAGAAGGGTGTTATTCTTGAGCAGAAGTTGCTGAATGCTGCTTTCAAATGGTTTTTCTACTTGCAATTAAACTGGAACAAACATCCCTGTGATTTTAATGGTGGGTAAAAGCAACATGATTTTAAAAAGTTCACTATATGCTGCCAGGACAGTTTTGTTTATTCAACTTACACTATGTCATTTGGAAGAAATGTAAGGCTTTCCCAAATAGGTTTTTGCTTATAGAACACAACTCAGAATGAATAATATATGTATTTAACCTCAAACAATTAAAAGTCTTGGAAGGGAAGGAAGAAGTGGAGGGGGAAAAGATTTGTTTGAGCCAAATCTGCATCAGTTCACATGGTAGCAGTAATATATAGACAAACCAAATTAGATCCAATCGGTGATGGAGGTGTGATAAGCTATATCAAAGACTCAACAATTTGAGAAAAAGAAACAAGCAAATCATCCATGAGCCTCTGCATTTTAAAATACAACACTGAACTTCTGAATTTATTCTGGTTTAACTGAAAATAAGATTTATTCAAATCTGTTTCTATCTTCAACCTTTCTAAGGATTCTATCCAGAAATTGATTTTTTTTTTTACTGCTAAGAAAGATACAGCATCTCTCCCAATTTCTTGACTCCATATGTATAGGCATTAATCATTACATTTAAAAAATATTGATAGTACTTTATTTGCAGATAAATCTAAAATCATCAAATTTGACACCTGAATAGGAAGGATTAAACATGAGAAATCCAATATCCAGCCAAAAATTTTATATATTTTTCTTTGTAATATTCATTGGCCATATTTGTATGATATTTTCCGACAACTTAAACTAATTTATTCAGTTTGCTCATTTTTTTGTTCAACACATCAAATTATAAACTAATTATATAAGCAAAAATTACATAAAATGCCAGGTTAAATAGCATCTTACTAGTTTGCAGTTCCATGGTGAACTAATGTGTCAGAAGTGAGCAGCTGTCCTGATTTCAGCAGTCTCTATGAAAACTCATCACAATCTCTTTGGATCTTGACTGAAGTCTCTGCCTCAAACTATAACAGCCAACCCAATATTATCCTGAGGGATCTGATATAACAAATCTCCAAGTTTCTGATAGGGATATCATTCCATCATTGTTAAATATGATGGATCTCAATGCTCCAAACACGCCAAACAGAAGCAAAATCTGCTGGAGTTTTGGTATTAGTATTGCTTTTTCTGCAACTGATTGCCAATCAAATCACAACTAAGTAGTAGTCTGGGGAGTTCAGTGTAAGCTTGTGTTACCTCCCTCATTTACCTTTTCTCATTGATCATGCAGGACCCAGCTGCAACAGCCTACATAAAACTGCTAAGGCTAGCACTGAGCATGTCCCTGAGAAGCTGAAGCCTCCACCTTGTGGCCTAGCTTTGCTACAGGTAAAGGGCAGTGATTACATTGATACACAAAGCTTGACTGTCATGGGTAAATACCATCGCCCTGGGCTGCTTAGTCTAGGGCTTTCCTTGCATTAGAGATCAATCACTGGGCTGTTATTTGTCTGACTTTACCAAACTTTAAAAACACCCCTCTAGCACAGTGATTTCGTATCAATATCAGCTGTACCAATACTATGGTAGCATTGGACATACACGGGCTTTACATACAATCCTTGTCTTGCCGATAATATCCCAACTGGATTTTCTTTCTCCATGCAGAACTTTTCAAGACGGTTGAACAATCAAAAACTATCAGAAACTACTAGGTAATAGCAACTTAGAAGGTAACAAGTAGTAGTTTTATAAACTGGGGTGGAAAGATCTGCACGATTTCCCCCTTTTGTGCCTACCAACATGGAAGGACCAGGTTTGGAAGAGTTTCATATTAGTCATCTGTAAACAAGAAAGGTAACACCATTCTAGAAATTGTACTTATTCTTTAAGTGCTGTCCAGCATTCTCTTAGGATTCCCAAGGTTCTCTGTTACTGGCTGACTATGATGCACAACTTCCAAACCAAGTATTTTCCTTGCAGTCTAGATATACTGATGCCTCGGCCGAGCCGGATCCCCATACGCAGGAGACCAGTAGGACAAACCCAGCACTTACTCAGATTTCATAGCTGCAGTGATGACTCTTCCCTCAAGGTATGGAAATATGCAGCCCCAGAGATACCAGCACAAAGTTCCTTGCCAGGTAGGTTCTTGCAGGGCATTCTGTATGGTTACCAAGGCTGCTGTTTGTCCTTTTTTGGACAGTCCCTCCGATTTTCCATACTAGATAGTGGCAGCAGATACAACCTTGTTTCTCTTCCTACAGAATTTCAACTGGAAATGCCAGTAATGAGTCCAAGGGAAGAATCACTTTTTCTGTGCCCTCCCAAAGTTTTGCTGGACGAGGTATGGGGAGGAGGGAGCTCTGCAAAGCCAGCTGCTGCTGCATCCCTTACCTGCAGCCGCTGCCATCCCCTTGAACCCTTGTCTTGTAGACAGAAGAAGAAGAAGCAACGCCTTTACCGTTGTATAGGCAGTAGCCACCCTCCTTATTGAAACTTTGGGGCAGCATAGCTGCAGTTGACATCATTAGTCCTCTGAGCCAGCTCTCTCTGTTGCAGCATCTCCCTGGGCGACCAGATTCCCCCCAACTCACCTACCGCAAGATCCTGTCTTTCTGCACCGAGGCCTGACTTGCCAGTGGGGGCACAACAGCTGCAGCCAATGTGCTCTAGCTCCTCAAGTGCCGCCACCCCACAGCATGCCAGCTGACTCCAATTCATCCCTTGGTGTGGAAGAAATCTCTTGAGACCCTTCTTGTTGGCACTTGATGAGTTCCAGATCCAATCACACCCCCCCTTCCTCTCCTCTCTCCTCTTTTAAACCAAAGCTGCTTTTTAGAACAGCAGCCAGTAGTTCTGATTTTGAGACTCTACCAGGAATAAGGGCCTCACATCACATCCCTTTTTTTTGTAGCCAGCTACACGAGACATTGAAGGCTTAAGGGGAAGGCTAAAGGTTTCCCAGCAATCCTCATCTAAATCTGGAAATCCATCTGTTTTTTTTGTGAAGGAGGTGCCTTTCAAAAAAGAAGCAAACCAGGCTAATTGCAAGAAGCTGGGTAGGTGTATGTATGACACATGGAAACCTTAACATGACCAGCTCCTCTTGGTCTGACTACAGCCCACAGCAGTAGCCAAGACCCTTCCTCCAATGTTATTTCCACCACTGTACATAATTGGTTACTGGGTTGGAAGCTATTTTTGAAACAAGTTTGTCTTATAACATGTTTCTATTAATAAATTTCATTTGTCAGAAAAACAAAAGAAAACTGCTTTTTGAAGTGTGCATATGTGTGTTGTGTGCGTAAGAGAGACTGATGTTTGGAATCTGCTTTGGGAAGTGATGCAAACTTAACAGGTCTCTGATACAGAAAATGTATGTGAAAGAAAGTGTATTCTCTAATCATTTATTATCTCCAGGTTTTCAACAAAACCAAGTACAGCTATAACATCTGGGCCTTCATGTGCTGATGGCTCTGCATTCTGTCAAAAGAAAAGGAGGGGTGGGTGTGAGATAATCACTGCATCTGGATCCATGGAGGGGGGGCAGAAAAGAAGGGGAGCCGAATTACCTTTTGGGGTAGGGGTCGGGAGAGGGCGGTCCAGTCATTCGCTCACTCCTGCTTCTTCGGGTTGTTGACGGCCACGTAGTGATAAAGGACGACCAGGAGGAACAGCGAGACTCCAAGCATATTGGCAAAGATGGCCAGTTGCACGTCCGTCACCATCCTGCGGGAGAAAAGCAGAGAGATTAGTCCGTCACGGCCAGCACTTTGGCCGCGGGAAGGCTCGAAGGGCCAGAAGAGACAACGGGCCCCGGGAGTCTCTCCGCGGCGGTCGCAAGTGAGCGACGTGGCAAGGCCGATTCGCCTGGGAGCCAAGTCCACCCACCTCTCGATTTGGGCAGCGACCCCACCGTCCTCCTCCTTGCTGCTGTTCCGAAGACTTCCAGTCGGCGACTTGAGGGCGCGCCGCTCTCGCCTTCCGCTCTCTAGAAAAACTGCGGCGGGAGGGAATGGAGGAACGGAACCAACCGAGTTCCGGAAGTACTGAACAGGCGCTGCTTTCTTTCGTGTCGTCGCGCACCGCCCTCGGCGCAGGGAGTCGAATTGCTCCGGGACCACGCGTGATCGGGCGCCCCCCGGCGGTTGAAAGGGAAAGCGTGGCCCCTCACGGCCATCCTGTAGGCCAGGGGTCTCCAAGCTTGGCAACTTTAAGACTTGTGGACTTCAACTCCCAGAATTCCTCAGACAGCTTTGCTGTCTGAGGAATTCTGGGAGTTGA